CTCCACTCGAGCTCCCAGTTAACAGCATCCACACACACTCTCTCTACACAACACCTGAGGATTATATTCATCGAATCTGTCAGGATGATCAGGATACGGCTGGACTTTGTCAGTATACGTAATCAGTCTGTTCCTTGCAGCCAGACAAAGGCGTTTATTCACTGTGTTCAGATCCAGAGTGAGCTGATGTGAATCTGATGGAGATAAAACACATCAGAATCTGGAATTATGAATATATTTGATAATTGAATGGCATAGTTCACCCCAAAATGAAAATTTGCTGTTAATTTACTCATCCTCAGGCCAGCTAAGATATACAGTAGGTGACTTTTTTTTCTTCAGCAGAACAGTAAAGATTTTTAGCTGAAACCGTGGTCCTTGGTGTTTCATATAATGCAAGTCACCAGTTACCATCACTTTGAGAGTCAAAAAAAACATATGCAGACAACACAAAATTAATACTCATGGCTCTAGATGATATATCAAGGTCTTATGAAGCGAAACAAATGGTCTGTGCAAGAAACTGAACATTATTTACAACATTATTACTTTGTATTACAATATTTGGTTTATCCTATAGAAAACACGTGTAGAAGTAGTTATAATTAAGCGATTAGTCAACAGAAGAGACAGACGGCTACACGTGAGTGTCCTGCGTAATACTTGTTTATAGATCTGCTGTTGGAATTATTACTTGCTGCTAGGAAGGAATATTTCGTTTTCTGCCTATTTCTACGTTATATTTTGTTTGCGTTTGTATTTTTGATTGCACTTTCTGGTAATTATAATAATTGCCCTCGGCTAAGAAGGAGCGCGTGTAATTTAATTGCTCCCTTCCTGCGTTTAAGTGCGAACTGTAGTTTCGATTTGAGGAATTGCCCTGCTATAGACTATTGGCTGTGCTAATTAGAAGGCGGCCACAGCGACCGTAGAGTATTTAAACTGCTTGGTCACTGTCATAACTTGGGTCAAGCGATTAGTCAACAGAAGAGACAGCTTCCATCAAGCACAATCAAAGCTCTACAAATGATTCAGAATTCAGCGGTACGACTGGTCTTCAACGAGCCCAAAAGCGCCCATGTTACACCTCGCTTTATCTCCTTGCACTGGCTACCGATTGCGGCTCGAATCAAGTTCAAGACATTGATGCTTGCATATAGAACAGCCACAGACTCAGCACCCGCCTACTTCCACTCACTACTACGAATCTACATCCCCTTCAGAAGTCTGAGATCCGCTAGTGAGCGACGCCTCGTGGTACCATCACAGAGAGGCTCAAAATCACTTTCCAGAACATTCTCGTTCACCACTCCTGGCTGGTGGAACGATCTTCCCACCCCTATCCGGAATGCTGAATCCCTGACAATTTTCAAGCGACAGCTGAAAACCCATCTCTTTCGAAGCTACTTGACTTCATCATAAAAAAAAATAAAAAAATAAAATAAAAAAAAATCTCTCTCTTTATTTATTCCTTCTCTTTCTAGCTTGTACTTATTTGAACAATGTCTAAGAACTTGGTATTACAACCACTTCCTGTGTCTGTTTGCCTCTTTAAGAAGAATCGCTTTATGTATCCCCCAATTGTAAGTCGCTTTGGATAAAAGCGTCTGCTAAATGACTAAATGTAAATGTAAATGTAAATGTAAATAATACTATGAAAGCCAGATGTGTTTGGAAGGCCTCATGGCCTGCACGACAGAGAGAAGTCACACGGGAAAGAATGGGATTTGAGCTGAAGTTGTGATGTATTCAAATTTCAAGTATACAAGAATTTCAAGGGATGTTTCTTTTATTAATTTTTCTTTTCATTTTAATTTCATTTATGATTTGAGTAGTGTAATACTTTATTATCAATTTACCTTGAGGGTATTTACCTTTTACATAAGGGAATGTTTTATCACTGGCGTTTTTTATTAAGAACTTAGTGCTGAACAACAGTTGTTCAGCAAGTTGTACAAAAATGTCAAAATCAAAGTCCCGCCTCAAACACATCGGCAAAACAGAAAAACTTATCAGTGTACGTCAATATTTGAAAAATGGCAATTATCGACCGATATATCGGCCTTGGCAATATATTGGTCAACCACTAACCCAGAGCCTTGGCAAATGGTCTTGATGTGCATTCATGATAGTCCGGAGAAACTTGTTTCACTTCATAAGATCTCAATGTATCATCAGGAGCCACGGGTATTAATTTAGTTTTGCCTGAATGTTTTTTGGACTCTCAAAGTGCCGGCAGCCATTGACTTACATTATATGAATCACCAAAGACCATGGATTCAGCTAAAAATCTTCTTTACTGTTCTACTAAAGAAAAAAAGCCTACATCTTGGATAGCCTTTTGGTGAGTAAATGAACAGCAAATGTTAATTTTGGGTGAACTATCCCTTTAATGTAGCTGATCTCTTCATGTTAAGTGTATTAGCAGTGTCTCAGTATAGCTTACCAGATATCCTGTGCAATTGTGTTATCAATTCTAAAACTCTTCTATCATGATATATTTTCTTTTACATTATAAAGGAAGAAGATGAACATACTCAGTGAGGTTTTCTGCTTGTGACTTACATTGTAGGAAGTCATTCCTGGTCCAGGGAACAAAGGTGTTGAATGTGACTGTGGAAATCAACAGACATGAACAGTGTAAGATGATTATGGACTCATTTCTGAGAGCAGATGAATCTCCAGTTCTTTACCTCTGTCTGAGATCTTTTTGAGGCCCTTTTTGCAGAAATCCTCCCGTTTGTCTCTCAGCTGACGGACAGATTCTCTCACACCATCAAAAGAGAAGAGAGAACTGAAGGGAATGATGGGATCATCTGTAGATTCAGGAGGTGATGAGAGAGACTGGAAACTCTACAAAAAAAAACAAAAATCAAAACTCATCACCTCCACGCTTCACCCAGTAACCTGTAGTACTGTCAGATCTGTGCAGCTCGTGTTGACTTTCATTAAGGACCCAATATACTCATGGCAAAGTTATTTTTTATTCTTCTCTTAGGGGTAAAATAAGTTTAAAATATGCAAACAATGATAAACTCTTATCGAACATCCTGCTATCCTGATGACATGCTATAACAGGAATATCTATGGCAAGCGCTCAATCCACTGGATTATTTTCTACCTTCATATTTTCTTTGTTCCTATGTAATAATAATTCAGTTGACTGAGCTCTTGCCATTGATTGGCCATTGTCCTGCCCACTGTCGGTGCCCTGGAAGAAAGCATTCATCCAAACGACTGCAGACGGGCTCATCTGGGGCCAACCACATCAAGCTAAACTCTTCAACAGCCTTAATGAAGATGCAAGAGAGCTGGCTGTCGTCACTGGGTTGTATGCCATTGGATATCCCAGGTGAAAGGAACCTGGGCTCCTTCACGGAGGATGACCAGTCATCGCTTCAGAGAATATTAATGGCATAGAGTAATCAGCAGCATCCTCCTTAAATCCCCCAAAGGAGACCAAGTTGCTTGCTTCAGTCGAGGGGTCCTTGTTCTTTAAGGGAGAAGAGCACCTGGCGATCATCTCACTGTGGGGAGAGTAAAGCACGTGCTCTCTAGCCCGAATGCTCAGCCCTCTGACGCTGCTGTTTCTTCCTCTGAGGCTCCTGAGAGCGGAGAAATGGGAGACCCCTGGGGCGGGGCCGCTATCATGAAAGACGGTAATCCTCAAGGGAAGGAAGGCAAGACACATGCTCTTGCAGTGAGAGCAGTCTGTCTCAACGAACACAATCTCAGCATGGGTGCGGCCCAGGCAAGTGGCGCACTCACTGTGCCCATCCGAGGCATCCAGGGCTACCCTGCACAAGCCACATTCATGGCGCGACATTTTGAATCAAACATAGCAGGAAATTTGCTCATAATTTGCTCTTTTGGGTTCGTTGGATAGCCGCAGCGGGGAATGGCTGAGGGAAGAGCATCTTTCTGCTGCCGGGGCACTTCTACAGCGAGTAGCAGGCTTCTTAGTTCTACTTCAGAGTACAGCAAGAAGATGATCTTCACGCTGAAGGAGAAATATTCGAATTAATGGAATTCAGCTCTGACTTATATAGGCAGTCTGCGCACCTATTTTGGTGGGCTGAAATGCCTTTTTCATGCATTTGAATAGTAGAACATCTTCTAAGAACATAAATGTCAATGTAATAAGTCAGTGGTGTCACATTGTAGGATTGAGTACATTTGCTAAGGAAAAGAAGTTTAAAGTCTGTCAATAGATTGAAGATTATTAATAAATTTTAACCGGTTATTGATTCTGTCCTGATACTGCACAAGGACCCTTTAGGCAAGAGCAGGTTTTCTGTGATTTCTTTATGCTTAAAGGTCCCATGGCATGAAAATTTCACTTTATGAGGTTTGTTAACATTAATATGAGTTCCCCTAGCCTGCCTATGGTCCCCCAGTGGCTAGAAATGGCGATAGGTGTAAACCGAGCCCTGGGTATCCTGCTTTGCCTTTGAGAAAATGAAAGCTCAGATAGCCCAATCTGGAATCTTCCCTGTATGTCGTCATACGGGGAAAGGTTACCTCCCCTTTCTCTGCTTTGCCCGCCCAGAAAAGCATCTAAAAAGCAGCATGTCATGGGACCTTTAAGCATTTTTAATATACAACCTCACTTTCTGTTTGGGGTCTTCGTGTTAAAATTCATCAATGTGTTATAGGGAAAAAGTTATGAAAATAAAAGTCAGATTTGCCAGATGTTAGTGAACATTACTAAAACATGCTGGAAAATCTAGCTGGGTGAACACTGGTTATCAAGTTTATAAACAATGTTGTAAGAAGACAAAATTATCAAAAAATTATGAATGATTACATCCCTTACTAAACAAAAATATATGGGAATATACAGTTTATACCAATTAAATATGTTAGAAATTATGCATCATGATACAAATGCCAACCTGTATCAGTGCATCGTTAACTTTTATGCCGATGCGAATCAGTGAATCTTACCATCCCTGATATATACACAAATTCACGGAATGGGCATGTGTTCATCATGTGTTTTTGCTCAATATTAATAGAGGGGGAGATCTGTTAGTTTTTAATGTTGCATTTTTTTGGAATTTAAAAGGGTTTCTGGCAATTCTGAGTTTTTGGGGTTATTGTTGTGCTGAAGAGTAGAGTCTGTGGTTAGGCTGACGATTGGCTGAACACCATTAAGACAATATGATACTTAAAAAAGTAATTGCTGTGCACACTTCAGCACAGTGAAAGTCTCTTTGCTAAATACTTTAGGACATGCAGGTGTGCTTGTGCTATTATGGACTAGCTATATATGAAAATATACATATATAATGCAATTTATTATAAAATCTAAACTCTATATTATATATTTCTACATGTGTGTATACAGTGCATGAGTAAATATATGTTTGATATATTTATACACATGCAGTACCATGTCTTATTATATATACATCCAGTGTTTCCCCTACCATTCCCCCTACCAAAACGAACCCCCCC